ATATCGAGAAATAGACAAAGGCGTCAGTAAAGTAACAGTGTGGATTAGACACGAAACCGACGTGCGATGTTTCGTACGATTTCGTGGTGTTGGGGGAGAGGTCGGCGCGGGAACGGCCGGAGGCCGAGATGCCGAAGTGGCGCCAGCCAAAAGTGTGTGGCAGCCAATCGGAAGCCGCGGCCGGACTCTGAGTGTGGCAGGTGTCCACAGCGCGGACTGTCGGATACCCGACGAAATCCGGGCTACACCCTAACACACTAGACTGACAGGGCAGTGGTGGGCGGGTCGAAAGGAACTCTCCACTCAGGCGTCGAGGATGAGGGGAGAGAGAAAGAGTGAAAATTCGAAAGACTGACGCGGCGTGCTGAGCATTGGGAGAGCTACGGGAGAAGGCGGCGCTCGCGTGGCGCCGCGTGCTCAGCACGCGAGGGCTCTTCAGCCACACCTAGCTTGGCTTAGCGCAAGCCCGAGCCGCTCGTTCCTCGCGTCGGGCTTGCTTGGCACCAGGACAGTCCAGCTGCCGCAGAACAGCCTGAGACAGCTCCTTCTGCTGCAAATGAAGTAGCTCCCGCCCCTACAGCTTGATCGGATCTCTTCCACCCTCTGAATTCAGCGTTGCCTGGGTCAATGCATTTGGCCTCGACTACGAATGTAACTTTTTCCGGCCCTGAAGCTGTATATTAATACCATGATACCCTTTATAATGATGGATTCATTATGATTCAGAGTTCAGAGAATCAGAGCGTACCACCGACCCGCACTCAAGTCTCAAGCCGCGAATTACCTGGACCTTCCGCGCCACAATATGCAAACAATATGGGCTTATACCTCGTTATGACCGAGCGCGAATGTGAAACGTTATAACGTTCAGTCTGCCCAGATACGGGACGGTCGATGCTTGGTCGATGCCACTACCAGACGGTCATGTCGCTGTCAAACGTCGGGTTCGGGCCTACTATTGCAGCTTGTTTACCTCGGAAGCCGCGTTCACTGCTTTAGTCATGAGGCCACTAGATGGTCCGGCATTGCCTGCACAATCACGAGCGAAACATGACTGCTACTTATGATCCAGCAATGCCTCTGAAGTACATCTCTACGCCAGGCTCGACATCTCTGCATTCTGCCTAAGTATGCCAATCGTGACACCACTGACGAAGTTGCTGGGTATCCGCGTGTACGTTCTCTGTCGCTTTTGGTGAGCGGATGGTCCTGACCAGCAGGTACCTTTCGCAGCCCAGTTGTGCAAGGGGGTATGCAGTGGTATGCACCTAGCACTATGGAACCTCAGTGCTGTTACCAAATTACTCTGCAGGGTCGGGGTGCCTCAACTTGCAGCAGCCGTGTCAAACGGTGGAGGACTCGGTATGTCTCACCGATCTCTGAAGTTCGGACTGAGGCTGGACATCTGTCTCATGTACAGGGATATTGACCGCTCTTACCCAACCTAACCCTGACGCTCTCCGTGCTGCGATACGGGAGACGCGCACACTTACTGACAAGCCGTTCGGCGTTAACATCACGCTGCTGCCTAGCATCAATCCTCCCGACTATGCAGGTTATGCCAGAGCTGCAGTGGAGGAGGGGGTGAAGGTTTTTGAGACAGCTGGGAACAACCGTGAGTTACTCGGTATACCAACCGCGGACCTATGATTGACTGGGTCGCGGGTGACCGGTTAGCCAAGCAGCTCGTGGATTATTTGAAGGCAAACGGCTGCACAGTTATCCATAAATGCACTACCATAAGACACGCCAAAGCTGGCGCCCGGATGGGGGTCGACATGCTCAGCATCGATGGCTTTGAATGTAAGCTTGATCTCCTATCTTATGGGTTAGATGATAACAGTTGACAGGCGCTGGGCACCCGGGAGAGGAGGATATCGGCGGATTAGTTTTGGTATGTCCTTCAGACACGCGCGAACGTTTACGGTTTTCTGAGATTTGATGTACGAATGCAGTTAGCAAGGGCAGCCAGTGAACTCAGCATCCCTTTCATTGCATCGGGTGGTATCGCAAATGGAAGGGGCTTAGCAGCTGTACTGGCTCTCGGTGCTTCAGTGAGTAGTTGTATTGGTTCGGCCCACTTGTACGGCGCCTGACGCTTTGTCGTGTCGTCGTAGGGAGCTAATATGGGTGAGTCCATGGCTTTTGCCCAACGCAGAGACAAATAATCGAATATCTTGATGCAGGAACACGTTTCATGTGCACTGTTGAGAGGTATGTATTGAGGTGCAAACTTCTCTTGCAATACTTACTGAAACCCACTGATTCAGCCCGATTCACCAGAATATAAAGGAGAAGATTGTGGCCTCAACGGAGCAGGATACCGTGCACATCTTCCGGACCCTGCACAACACTGCACGGGTGTTCAAGAACAAGATATCGCAGGAGGTCGTCGCTATCGAGCGTCGACCAGGCGGCGCAAAATTCGAAGACATCCGGGAGCTAGTCTCTGGTGCTCGGGGACGAAAGGTCTACGAACTTGGAGATCCCGACTACGGTATCTGGACCGCAGGTATCGCAATGGGGTTAATAAATGACATACCGACGTGCAAGGAGCTCCTGGAGACCATCGAGCGTGATGCAGAGGACATTATCAGCCGATTAGGCAGGATGGTGGTTCCTGAGCGTAGTGCTAAGTTATGACATACCTTAGACTCTATAAGCCGTAACTTCATTCCGGCGTAGGTTTTTACGGGTGAGACTACAACCTCTCTTTTACCTCTTTGTTAGAGTCGTACTGTATCATACATGCCTACCACTTTGAATTCTCTACACACTTGCGAAGAGGAATCCAGTGAACATGCGGTCATGTGACCTACGCGCTCTTGCCTCGTGTTTCCGCGTGGTTGAATCAGAAACGCCAGACCACACTACTGCCAAGGTTTCTTCGTGGTTTCTGTGAGTTCACTGCTTTCTTTCGCTCTCTATGCTATCAGCTGTTCCTTCCCTGCACTCTTCTCCATGTCCGTCTCCGCCATCGATGGATCCGCCAGTCTCTTCAGTGCCTTCCACACCCGAGGACAAGGTAAATACGCGTCAATCGTCGGCCACCCCTTCAGACGAATCGTCACTCTTTGAACTCTCCTTTGAGTACAACTATGACTCGGAGGGAAACATCATACGCGTTTCCAATTCGAAATCTCTGTCCTCTTCGCCGCCAGAGAAGCACAAGCTCGAGCGTAGGTCTTCTCCGAAGGCGGCCACAGACCGTACCTCGTCAGACGCGTTGCCCCCTCCTGAACCGCGCACCTCGCTTTCGCGTTCAGAGAGCGCGTCAGTTTTGCCTACTGGACCATCTCAAGCGACGGATGCTGCTATCGCTGGTATCCGCTCCTTTCAACGCGTCGCTTCAGGCCCAGCTGTCATCAATGCAATCACGCCTGTGGCTACCGCAGCAGCAATCAAATCCAACCTTGGAGCATTATCTACTGGGCTCAGCAACACTGCGCGGAAATTAGGCGGGCCGCGACGAGTCACAAAGGAAAAGTACTTTGAACAAGAAGAGCGGAACAAATTGGCGGACGAACTCCTACGGGCCGAGAATCAAAGAGCGCTGCAAGAGAAGGGGAATCTGTTGAATGTGCAAGCTACGGCGGCACCTGTACTGGGTGCCAGTAAGCGGCAGTCGCCACCACCCCTTTCGCGTCACTCGTCTACGCCACTCTACCCAGCGAACTCTCTGGCTTCATCTAATATAGACTGGCTAGGATCATCAGGACCTAGTGAGCTTGCGGCCGGCTCATCGTCTCTCTCTCGCTCTCGTTCGGAGGGTGCCCCGGGATTTCAACGCCCTCACATACGGAAAACAGCCAGTACGAGGGGAGCGGGTCGTCCTTGGAAAGGGACCTTCGAAGATATTGCGGAGCATGATGGAGGTGAAGTTCACTCTGCCGACGAATATATGGGTGCAGAAACGGATACAGGTGAGGTTCAGTTTGCTATCAGTTTGTCTTTGCGGACGTCCAAGGAGGTGACTGCGTGAGCGAACCGGGCGAGATCCAAACGCTTAAGTAAGAGGATACTGAATTTTTACTGATAGGCGAAGATCCTCCTCCACCAAACCCGCCGAATGGGTTAAGTCGAGGGCGAAGTTACGGTGACGTTGACGAAGTCAACGGTGCTAATGGTCTGTCTTCCTCCACCGGTGTCCGACCACGGCGCTCTTTCAGCGTAAGCGACGCTCCTGGTACGTTGTTCATTTCGCTGATATCTGGTTCATGCTGATCATCGACTGACATAACTTACACATGGTCAGAGCCAGATCACCGCCAGCCTCAATTACCCAAACCTTCTCGTCAGTACCTTCTTCCATCAGGACGTCCAGAGACGAATGGCGCTCTCAACACGAGCAAGGGTGCAAGGCGGGTGACAGTTGAAGAGCATATCAGGCAGAGCAGACTGGCAGAACAGGAAGCAGGTGCGTATGGTCATCATCGCTGTGGACTACCTTTAACAAGTGTATAGAATACCTTCGGCGTCAACGGGTGCAATCGGAAGAATATGAAAGTCCGTAACGTTCGTTCGATGACCGCCCGTGTCTAATCATATATTACAGTAGCGCGCGAGTCGGAACCGGAGGAGAGCTACGGACGATCCCGAAAGTCACCTTCTCCTACTCACAAGAACAACCATGCGCGGTCCGCATTTGGTCATCAACGAAAGGATTCTGATACCCTTCGCTCCGTGCCGCATCCTACCCTTGCTACCGCATCTTCACCCACTGCCGTAGATGTACTGCCTCCACGACTGTCACCTTCGGGCACGGGTCCAAAGCACCGCAGAAGTCCAACTGCACCGGAGCCACCTACCACCAGTGGTATGCTGGCTCCCGCACAGAACGGGAAAACGCCGGGGAGGACGTGGGCGTCAGGGGAAGGAAAGGGCAGATATTCTGCTGGGGACGATGACCCAGCAGACGCTATTGCAGAGAATGGATACGCGGAACAGTATCAAGTTCATGAAAAGCGTTCGACTGCGGCACCTTCGCGTCCAGTGCCAGCGGTGGTTAATCCCGTTGGAGAGCGCCCCAAGACCATAACGGTGAGTGCTTCTATACGAGTTGACGTGGTGTTCCGAACCTGAGCTGTAGGGCTTCCAGGTAAACAAGAAGGGGTATGCTCGCTTGGATCTTCTGGGCAAGGGTGGCTCTTCCAGGGTGTATCGAGTCATGACCGGCCAGAATGATATCTACGCGCTCAAGCGGGTAACCCTGGACCAGACGGACGCAGAAACAATGAGCGGTTACATGAACGAGATTGCCTTGCTGAAGAGACTCGAGGGCAACAACCGGATCATAAGGCTCATCGACAGCGAGGTGAAATCAGGCCCTAATGGTTCGAAAGGGCTCTTGCACCTTGTCATGGAATGCGGTGAAATTGGTAAGGAAGTTAGATCGCGGAGTTATGATGTTGATTTTGCTTACTTCCTTTGTTACGCAGACCTGGCGCGACTATTACAAGAGCAGCAGACAAAGCCAATGAACATGGTCTGGATCGCCTACTACTGGCAACAGGTGAGCATGTCTTTGATAAGGCGTAATGCATTCACTTACAGGGTGAGGTCAGATGCTTGAGGCGGTACAAGTCATACACGACGAGAAGATAGTCCATTCGGACCTCAAGCCAGCTAACTTCGTGCTGGTGCGAGGGCAACTGAAGCTGATCGACTTTGGGATTGCCAACGCGATTGCCAACGATACCACCAACATCCAGAGGGATCACCAGGTTCGTAGCAGAACTAGCAACGACCGTGCGCATCTTCTGATTATGTCCTTTTGGTAGATCGGAACCGTCAATTACATGAGTCCCGAGGCTATCGAGGTACCGGATGGGAAGCGGCGGCTCAAAGTCGGCAGACCAAGCGACGTATGGTCCCTCGGTTGCATCCTTTACCAGATGGTGTATGGCTATCCGCCTTTCCAACAACTGTCGGTATACCAGAAGATGAAGGCTATCCCGGATCCTAATTATACCATCGACTTCCCTGCCTATTCGGCACCCGTGATCCCAGCGTCGAAATCGCAGCGAGATGGTCCGTCGACACCTCCACAGAAGCTGGATCATCTCAAGAGGCGGGTGCCGGCATATGTCATCGCGACGATGCGCAACTGCCTATGCAGAAACCCGAAAGAACGGGCCACTATCCCCGAACTGCTCGAACATGATTGGTTGACCGGGAGAGAACGTACGTCCTGTTTTTTTGGTATCGCAGCCTCCCGCCGTCTGACGAGTGTTATAGCTGCCCCAGTGCTTGCCCATAACGAAAGCATAATCAACCCTCATTATATGGGCCAGCTACTGCGCTATGGGATGGCCCTTGCTCGCGATTCTCCAAACATGACGAAACAAGAACTCGAAAAACTAGCAACAGTAAGTGTCGTTTTGCCATGATTTAGGAAATAAGTCTGACGGAAGAGACGTCGTAGGATCTCATTGGTCAGCTTCAGGGGACCATCAGGAGCGCGAAAGATGAGCGCGACTCATTCTGAATAGTGACCAGGCTAGTTCACTATCAAGTTCGGCCTCTGCTGTGTAAAACATGTTATGCCAGTGTATTAGAGACAGGTTTGGCGGCCAGCGTCTTGGACCATCCGATATCCTCATATGCCTTTCTTCCGCTGTCTTGTTATCTATGAATTGCTGTCGTTCTTTGCTATGCTCGTTTGCTCCTCTCCCCATCGTCGCATTCATATTGCATGTACAACCCCAATCTTTCATTCAAGGTTCATACTTTCATTAATATCCCTTGATTCCCTCCCGTTGCATTATTATTGTTCAACTAATCACAAGCCCCTCATGTGCCATTCATAGACGCAATGCATACCAGGATCATGATGTTGATTCATCATATCAAGGAAAACATTTGCCCACTGACAGGAGATGCAACAGATGCGTGACGCAAATATCGAGTCCGGGGCTGAAGCGGGTATAGCCGAATGCAGAAATAGGACGATCGGGCGGTGCGGAGAAGCGGAACAGTGCCTGGTTGTTCTAATCGCTCTCGTTAGCGCTGTAATATATACCTCTGAGACCAGCGTCGTCCTGCGCGCCCCCTCCCCTCCTTGCCACCATGTCCAACAGCACCGGGTCCACTCCCTCCATCATCGATGCGCTGCCCCCCTCCCTGAAGCTGCCGCCGCATCTCTCGGCGCACAAATATTTCTTCGTCTGTACTCTCACCGTTGCCGCTTGGGATACGCTGGTACTTTCCCCCCGCACATGGCGTCTAATGCGAACGAAAGAATGGCCTCCTCTCAAAATCATTTTCCATTTCTTGAGGGTTTTCATGCCGATTGAATTCACCATCGTTGGGGTTGCGTTCTTCGACACCAAGTTCACGCAGGCGGTACGCGCAGAATGAGACGTTCTTTCCGTTTTCGCTGCCTAAAACTGCGTCACAGCAATGCCAAAAGTTCTACCTTTTCGAACCCATTTGCACCGCTATCCTTTTAGCCCTCTGCTCGGGTATGTTCTATATGACCCCTCTCCGGCATGTTCTAATCCGACCTGGGTCCAGCCGTCCATGTCATTCGCATTCACGCGATCTACGAGAGGAATAGGAGTGTTCTTGCTGGTATGGGCGCACTCTTGGCTATTCAGATCGTCGTGACAGCCATTTGCTGCGGCTTCTACCGATGTTAGTACCAGAGTTTTCCGCTGGAGTCGAACCTGACAGGCAATCTGCGCAGCTGTGCCTTTGGACGTAGGCCAGGGATGCATTGCTGGGCCGAAGGCCAACTGGGTCGGCATTTACTGGCTCTCAGCGACATTGCTGTATACAGCATCGGTATGCTTCTCACTACTTCCATGTGTAACTGACGGCTGACAGACTTGCCGCCAGTTTGCTCTGGCTGTGGCTCGTTCCGTGGGCTCGCTTAAGGTGAAGCCGTTGAGCCCCTGGAAGCTTATGCTTCGAGATGGTCTCAACCTGTACGGTGCCATCTGGATCGTCAACATGGTCAACATGCTGTTCTGGTTCATCATAAAGCCAACTGGCACCAATGACCCAATCAGGACCATTGTTACGAGGTGCGTCGCGTGGATCTTCTGGCTCTCAACTCCAGTGCTGATTCGTCCGTAGCATGGCTGCTGTCCTTACTACCTCCATGACCCTGCGTATTATCCTTGGTGTCCGCGGCTCGCTCATCGACGGAGGCTCTTTCGCCGGCTCTCACTCTACTGCAACCGGCTCTTCTTCTCGTGGCGGCACCACACACGTTATCTCCTCCCGCAGCACCCCGGCTGCTAATCAGACGTTCCAGATCGGTTCCCGCGCTGTCGGCCAGACCTACACTATCGACGAGCTGCACGGTGCGAGCGGGAAGGGCGAGGAGTGGACAGACCCCGTCATGGATGGCAAGAGCAGCGTGCACGACACCAAGGAGGGCGTTTTCCCTATCGAGAGCCCGCCCCAGGGTGTGAAGATCACGATTGACCGGGAGGTGGACGTGGAGTATGATGTCGAGCCGTATAACCGCGGACCCAAGTAGGCGGGTGCTGAGCGGTGTTCTGTGGTGGACATTGGGCATTTCGGTGTAAGATGTACCCCCATCACGCTTCGATGGTGATGCTGGGAGCGCAGGTGTATACGTGGGGGTGGGCTGACCGGCGGCACCTCTTCTCTGTTTATCTTAACTGATGTTTGTGTTATTTAAGGTTTGACTTCTTGTTCATCTTGTGGATTACCATATGAGATGTTAGATATCTGTTGTGCCACTAGCGATTCAAGGATAAATCAGTTGTATTGACAGGATCAGTGAATGTCACAGGGCTCGGATGGCATAATCGGCTGCACTGTACGGGATAGAGCCCGCGGCTCTTATTGTGGAATGACAGAGTTCGCAGAGATGATCAAACATGGAACTAGAAATACATGATGTAGATGTCCTGGAAGCAATCAGATAAAAACTGGGGTATTGTACTTGACATGACCAAACAAGGTTTAGATACCGAGCGCAGCCTACACACCAGCGTGCGAGGAGATTCACCTAGGTCAGCAATTGGAACTAGTGACCGGTGGAGGTTGCGCAGATGGTGCATTCTGCACGGGCATCGCCAGTAGGTTGGAGCTCAAGCAGGATCACCTCGGATCGGTTCACACAGATGCTAGATGAGCAGTCAATAACATCCGGGAAACGACACGGGAGGTGGGAGCTCACATTCAACTTGCTCGCATGTTGAGGGCGGTGCGCCTGGGTTCTGCAGTTGTAGCCGTACCAGCAGTTCTCAGCCGGAACAGCGATACCCTCTGGCAATCACGATCAGCGTCACATTCTTAGCACCCCGGAGTTGTGCGCACCTGCGCGCTTGCGCTCCAGCCACCACTCATGCATCTTGGACCGTACGAGCAACCGGAGGCAGCCCTCGCACAGCCAGTTGTCGGGCGTCAGCGGTTGCCCGCCGTCGAGCTCGGTGTTGTGCTCGATCATCCATTTAAAGAGGTCTGGGTAGCAGAATGCCGGACGCTCGAGATACTGCGTTAGTGGCTGCCTCTCTGTGAAGTTCCGCGGGAGATGGCCTTTCATAGCCGCTCCTAGCTCTCCGGGCGATAAAATGCCCTTCAGGAGAGGCCAATCTGTGCATGCAATGTCAGACTACATTCAGAGGTCTGCTCAGGGCGAATGCTTACTTGCTGAACTCCACAGCCTTTGCGATGCCTGCTTGCAATTGTCGCCTGCGAAGTCAGTTCAACAACTAGGTATGCCTCGAAAACGGTACTTTGATACGCACATGGATGATCCTCGTACTTGTAGTAGTCGTCTAGAATAACCTTCTTCATTTCATGCAAGTTCCAGTCAGGTTTGCCAAGTCGCCGACGTTCGAAAGCCTTCGCGAGGTCCCGCGCTATGAAGCAAAATTCTTCCAGATTTTCCTCGTTCTCTGGAACCGGTATGAAGGGTGCGCCGGATTGACATTTGAACATTTGAAGAACCACCTCAGGCCCGGTGGACACGACGAAGCCCAGCATGTCCACTTCGGGATTGTCCCCTGTAAACGAGTGAACGACCGCATACTGTGTGGGCGAGTGCCACGGGTACGTGCTCACTAACCGGTCCATTCAGGGTAGAACTCTCCGATTGCTCTGGCCGTCCACTGCACGGTCTCGCACAAGAAGCGGTAGATCACGGCGAATTCGAGGAACTGTGTGTCGTCGCCGAGTGAGTCGAAGAAACGCTCTTTCTCTTCGGTATAGTTTAAGAGGACGAGGTCTCCGTCCTCGTCCTCATCCTCGTCCTCCTCTTCGTCGCACCGAAATGTGTCTGCGTAGAGTAAGAATCGGTACATTGCGCGACAGAATCGCATGGATTCATTTTCGCTGAGGACGCTCTTGGGAGAGGTTGGGTCTTTATGACTGAGACTGGACTCAGACTCGGTAGTATGGTTACTCAATGAACGGATTGGTACCTCCAGCTAAACAGATCTTCGAGCTCACTGACCACACGGGCATCTTGATTGAGTGTTTGAGCTTCTGACCGAGTAATTGGTGTGTTCAGGACTTCAGATTCCGGCACCCAGTTACTAGGATCACGCGTGTCGCGGTCCTTGTCGTGGCGGGCCGCTCTTAGTGCTTGAGGCAAAGCAGGTCCGATGTGATTGTAGGCAACCGCGCTCACAATTGAGCTTGGATGGCACTTGAAAACTTCATATATATGTTTGGATACTAGGATAACAGAAGACAGCGATGAAAGATCCGGGAGCGCCCTCATTATGCAGTCCACAAGATCGTCAGCCACAGGAAAGGAATCCCGAGTTCCGGACATGAAGCGTCTCATAGAGCGGTAACAAGCTGAAATGGGGCACGGTACACGTATAAGAGGTAATGCCGTGCACCTGAGTATGCGTTCTGGCTGTTATATCAGGGCCTGGATAGGACGTCGAGTCAAGACGGACGCGCAGACTCGCGCAGAAGGATCAAGTTCGAGTCAAGTGAGTGGCCAAGACCGGAGGCAGTGCCTGGTCTGTAATTATGTAAGCGGTCTCGAGACTTCCAGAGACCATGTGATTCCGGACCCTGCCGCCGACCACTGGCATCGTTGCTATTATTGGCTCCAGGCCTGCTCCTGCATGTACTATGGGCCTCAGGCTCGCTCCTCCTCCTTTACCCTCTTAACAACGCTGAACACTACCCTGCGGTGCTTGTCTTATGGCGCCGCATCCCCTCATCTTCTTCTGCATTCTGTCGCTCCTCGTACCGTCCGCATATACCCACCCCATCGACTGGATCCGCAAATTATCTTCTAATGCCAGGGCCGAGCGTAACTGGTTTTGGGGATGGGGCGTAGACAGCACGGTCTCTATTGTAGACCGCTCGCCTCCACTCAGCTTCCCCTCGCGACCTGCCGCCTTTGGAGTAGACCTGTCGGAGCCTTTGCTGGGCTATGTCATACCCCTCTCATCCTTCACTGCACCCTGCCCCGACCAGGGTGGCAATACTTCGAGCATTATCCCGGAAAACCTCGGTTGCCCGAGGTTGTGTCCAGTTGGACCGCACGAGCCTGAATCCAACGAGTCTTGGATCGCCCTGGTGCAAAGAGGCAAATGCCAGTTTGTCGATAAAGCCAGAGAGGCCCAGAGATTAGGAGCGCGAGCTGTGGTTGTAGGCGGCGATGATCCAGACGTCAGCGGAAACCCCAACTCTCTGGTGAATATGTACAGCCCAGGTGTGTATGTCGCACTACCCCGCGTTCGTTAATTCACGCGGGAACAGGGGATTCGTCTGATGTCACTATTGCTGCGACGTTCATCAAGTACTCCGATTACATGGAATTGATGGCGCTTATATCTGTGTCAAATACATCGCATGCAGGACTGAGGACATTATCACTTCTGATAACCACAGAATATTCTGCTTGGGAATGGTACTCGTGAGTTGACACTTCGTGGAACGCGAATGCACCCTGATCGTCTGCCACAAGTCCCGTCCTCACCTTCATAATCATACTCCTCCTTCCTTCGACACTGACATTCATCACCCTTCTCATCCACCGCATACGAGCCGCCCGTGCAGCCCAGCGCGACCGTGCGCCCGAGGATATTGTGAAAAACCTTCCCTGGCGGGTATACACGGGAACAGGATGGGAGAAGCACGAAGGCCACATACCCGGGGAAGACAGCTTGGAGCCTCCATCCATGGACATCGACCTGGAGGAGGGCCCTCCGCCCGACTCATCCGTCCCAGCTGCGGTCCCAGCGGACCAGCCTTGGTTTGAGACGCAGACGGAATGCGCGATATGCTTATCGGACTTCGTCCGCGGCGATAAAGTACGGGTGTTGCCCTGCCACCATATCTTCCATATGGACGAAGTGGATGAATGGCTCATTCATCGTAAGAAGTTGGTATGTCTGAGTTTTACGGGATTTCGATTTCTGGCCCTGCAGCTCACTTCGTGTCATACAGTGCCCGGTCTGCAAAGCTGATGTCACGCATCCCTCCGTTCAAGCGAAATCCAATCCTAACGAACCGCACCAGCTAGCACCGGAGTCTCCGGTGGTGCCCATTCAGACATCCCTCGACGCTGACGAACGGACGCCGCTGTTGCAAAGTCCCGACGCTCATGGCACGAATCACGATTCATGATTATTTGTTTCTAATAGTTACAGTATTTGTACCATTATTTGTGTAACGTATTGTAGTTGAAGAATGCACAGTGCTACGTCTTCCAGCCCCCTCCTAATTCACCTTCACAATCTCCATCAAGTCGTTCAATGTTCATTCTCATCGCTCGGCTTGAGCAGAAACAAAGACCATAGACACGGAAGCAATTCCTTGACGCGTTCTTTCCACGGTTACCTGCGAGATTGCCTTGCTATATGATACACATACAAAAGGATCTTGCAGTCGTATCTCATCTCCATGAAGTGTCAGTTGTCTTCGCAATGTCATACAGTCAATTGACCGCATACAATGAAAACGCGAATGAAATTAAAAGCTTCCTGCTGTTCGGACCCGCGTTTCTTAACTGGAATCTCCCGAAATACAAGAGTTCCTGAAGCGAACAATCGCAGCGTCCGCATACCGTCAGTCTCCCAGATCTCCTTATAGCATCAGGACCCCGGCATACTGGTATATATGTTTGATCCTAGTGCGGACATAAACGGCCAATTTTGAGGCCCTATGTCGGATATTTAGGCGGACATAAAGCCCAAAATTTCGGTCCATGTCCGGTATATCACGGCGGACACAAGGGCCTTGCCGGTCTTGGTGTCCGATCACCTGGCGGACATACCAAGTCGTCGAAGTGTCACACCCAGTAGTCCTTGTACTAGGTTGAGTGGTGTCTCTTATGCTTCTCAGTCAACTGTCAGCTCGTCTCGTGTATATCCAGGTATATCCTCAGCAACGGTGAATGAAATGCAAGCTTTGGAGACAGTGGTGGATCTTAGGAAGACTGAAATACAATATCCCGGAGTACACGGCCTGCCCAGAATCTGGTGAAAAAATCCAAGGGGCATTCGTGCAAATGTCGGTAGTATAGATATCAGTACTTTTGCGTAACAGTTGCACTCATTTTGCGCGTGTGCCATTTGTGCAACGGTTGCAATACAGGTTGCAAAGGATTT